CTAGGCATTTTCTTAGTGATTGATGTGGGGCCCAGACCACTGTGGATAGAACCATCCCTAGGTTGGTGGTCCTGGGTTCTATAAGAAAGCAGGCTGAGCAAGCCAGTAAGCAACTCCTCCACGGCTTCTGCATCAGTTCCTGCTTCCAGGTTCTTGCCCTAACTTCCTGCAGAAAGCCAAATAAACCCTTTTCTCCCCAATTTCCTTTTGGCTGTGGTGTTTCATCATAGTACAAACCTATACTAAGACACCACCTGAGCAGGATTTCACAGGTATAATCATAGAGCATGGCCTTTGGGAACTAGCCACTCTGGCCTGGGTACACAAAGCTGCTTGCTACTCTGAAAGGTTGGGCCTTGGGGAAAGCTTACTCTTGGCTGGCAGTATGCACAGCCTTCTGGTGAATATATTCTAACATGGATCTATCTCCCCTAGAGTCTCTGGAGCACTGAAAGGATATGTAGGGCCTAGACACTACACTTCTCTTCAGAGTTTGTCTATGTGCATGTGTGTTCATGGTGCACCATGTATATGACCATGCACATGTGTGGAGGCAAGTTTGATGGTGGGTGTCTTATTTCTTGAGACAAGATCCCTCTACATAGCCCTGGCTGTCCTGGAACTCACAAAAATCTGCCTGTCTCTACCTCCCAGAGACTAGGATTAAAGGCATGCATATAGCACACCCAGCTTCATCTTATTTTTGAGACAGGATCTTTCACATTCCCCTGGGACTCAGTGAGCTGAGAAATCTGGCTGGCTAATGAGCTCCAAGTGACCTGTCTGTCTGGCAGTGCTGATTACAAGCATGTGCTGCCATACCCACATTTTACATTCATGCTGGTATGCATGAACTCATGTCCTCATGCTTGTATAGCATGTATCTTAACAACTTGAGCCATCTCCCTGGACCCTAGAATTCTCCACAATATTTGCTCATGTACATTCTCTGTAAATCCTAGGCATTTTGTGTGCCTTCTCAAAGGGGGACAGGGCTGACAATGTCCCTAGTAAGACTAGAAGTTATATATAAAAGGAGAAAACCAGGAAGTCCCCAGTATGGCTAAGTGATGGGAGAGTAGGGAGTGAGGACTGCTATAAACCTATGCAGACTTTCTTCAGGCCTGATTCACTGTGGCAATGAGTGTGGATGCTCAGCACCCACACAGAAACTTGAGCTTTTCCTAGCAGGTCCACTAGATGTCACTTGCCCATTTGTTTTCTGCCCTGAGGACTGCCCAAAGGGCATGCAGTCAGCTTCTACCCTTGACCACACCTGGGTCCACCACTCTATGGGCACAAGCACTCAGTGTTCTTTGGCTGAACAGGAACAGGGGCCTGAAGAGGGCTGAAAAGCCAGTAAGCCTAGGATTAAACAGCTGCTCACCACCAGAACACTGAAGTTGAGCCACTTGCCTAAAGTTGAACTTACCCAAATGAGGTCATTCTCACCAACTTCACCACCATGGGTCCAGACATCTCCCCTAGGTCATAGAAAAAGGCTCTACACTGGTTCTGTTCTCATTCTCTCCCTCACAGCAGCTAAAGGTAATCCTACACCAATTTGTATCACTGCTCTATTCTAGATCCTACAATGGTTTCCCATTTGTTGCAGTGTAAAACCTCAAAATCCTTCTAATGTATAGCAAAGTCCTGTTATCTGCTTGTCTTCCCTTCCTTCCTGACCTCATCTACCCTTTTTCTGGATTACTCTGATCCAGCCATGCAGACCCCCTTGCTTGCTTTTTTTTTTTTTTTAAAGATTTTATTTATTTATTATGCATACACCAGATCTTATTATGTACCAGAACTCATTATAGATGGCTGTGAGCCACCATGTGGTTGCTGGGAGTTGAACTCAGGACCTTCGGAAGAGCAGTCAGTGCTCTTAACCTCTGGGCCATCTCTCCAGCCCCCTTGCTTGCTTCTTAAACACACAAGCACACATCTGCTTCAAGGCCTTTATACCTATCACTCATCTGGCAGTCCTCCTCTGAATATTTCCATAGCTTGCTTCCTCTTATCCTTCAAGTCTCCCCATGAATGCCATCATCTCAAAGAGCTCTTCCAATGACAAGAGTGTATCACTGTGTGTGCTGCATACACGTATCCCACCCCGTTCATACCATTTATCACCTTCAACGACAAGTACTTCAGTATCTTGACTCACAGTTGGGATTCTCATGCACTCAACCTTAGCTGGAGTCTTGGATTTCTCTCCTTCCCCTCTAGTTCATTCTCTAGCCAGGCAGCCCTTGAAAAGCTTAAACCACAGTCTATGCCAACACGTGCAGTTCAGCATCTGCCACTCTCTCAGTCTGAGTACTACAGAGAGTGCTCAAAAGTGGGGTAACCAAATTGCTACAAATGAGATACTCTCCCCTTTCTGTGTTTGTGTTCATCTGTATGTAAACATGCATGTGTGTGCAGGTGCTTAGAGAGGGTGTCAGATTTCCTGCAGCTAGTTACTGGAGGCTATGAGCTGCCTGATATGAGGTGCTGGGAACCGAACCTGGATCCTCTGTAAGAGCATCAAGTAGCCAAGCACAGTGGTGCACACCTTTAATCCCAGAACTCAGGGAGGCAGAGGCAGGCAGACTGCTGTGAGTTAGAGGCCAGCCTGGTCTAAAGTGAGCTCAGAACAGCCAAGGCTACACAGAGAAACCCTGTCTAAAAAAATCAAAACCAAACAAACCAAAACAAAAGAGCATCAAGTACCTGTAAATGCCAAGCCATCTCCTGGTCATACCCCAAATAAATCAATCTTTTGTAACAAACGACAGGGTCTCACTATTTAAGCCTGGACTAGACTGGAACAATGTAGAACACACTGGTCTTGAATTCACAAGGATCTGCCCCCTCTGCCTCTCAGGTTCTGAGAATGTATGGGCACACACACGTGTGTGTGCACATGCAAGATATGAGGGAGCAAGTTATGTAAATACCCAAAGGAAGGCTGTCAGATAAGTGATAGATGCAGAGGTCTTGGAACAGATGTGTTTTGTCTATTTAAAAAGCAAGCAAGGCATGTGCCACAATACCTAGCTTTTTTTTTTTTTTTTTTTAACTTTTGGAGCCAGGCGTGGTGGCACAGACCTGTAATCCCAGCACTCAGGGAGGCAGAGACAGGTGGATCTCCGTGAGTTCAAGACCAGCCAGATCTACAAAGCAATTCTAGGACAGCCAAGGCTACACTTTTGGGCTGGCAGAGGCAGGCGGAGCTCTGAAATTGAGGCCAGCCTGGTCTAAAATTAGTTCCAGGATAGGCAGTGCTGTTACACAGAGAAACCTTGTCTCAAAAAAACAAAAGAAAATTATTTACTTTGGGGCCAAGAAGCTTTAATCTTAGTGGAAGCAGAGGAAGACTTGAGTTTGAGGTCAGTTAGGCCTACATAGTGAGTTCCAGTGAAGACAGGACTGACTACATAGTGTGATTGTGTCAAAACACCTAAATGTTGTGAGTGCTGGGATTAGATATGAGCCCCCAAAACTCAGCCTTGCAATGTTGGCTCAAAACCTTACTTTTTAGCCACATGTTTCTCAGTTGAGCTTTAAACGTTAGTTCAGATATATCCAGTATATCTGTTATTCTCTTGTCCCAATCTCCTGGACTGCTGATGTCACCTACTATAATACTTGCATGCTCCTCCTGCTCCACAGATGCTCAGCTCTTGGCCTTTCCCCAGTCCAGCTTCCATACAGCAGACAGCATTGTCTTTCAGAAGTATAAACCTGCTAATATTACTAATTTGCATTACATCTTGGCCCTGGACACCAAATGTGTGGTGCTGAGGTTTCCTACCTTTTCTTCTTCAGGGTCAAGGACAATACCATTTCCACAGTGACTAGTACACTGCCTGGTACAGAACAGACGCTGGATAAGTTCTGAGTGACAGAACCCCATGTCCTGCCAGGTATCACTCAGATACTAACAGCAAGGCAGGGACTTCAGGCCTACTCACTAAATCTGTGTGCCTGGAAAAGATTCCTTACCTTCTGGTTAACCTCAATCTCAACTATTAAGTTAGAATACTAACTTAATAGGGGCCCAGGAACTGGAAAGGGCCCAGCAGTGAACAGCACTTGCAGAGGACCTGGGTTTCATTCCTAGTACTCATATGACAACTTAAAACTGTCTGCAAACCCAGTTCCAGGATTAATAAACTCTAATGGCCACAACGGGCACCAGGCACACAGTAGCACACAGACATATATATAAGTAAACACCTATAAATATAAACAACCTCCACCCATCCTAGTGACACGGTATAAACATAAACAGCCTTCACCCATTTAAGTGACACAGGGTACCTCAAGTGCACAGTGAAGCTCCTGTGGAGGACTGCAATCTTACTTACAAACACTACCCCTTATTAAGCACGGCTAGAACTAACAATTTGAGACAAAAACCATTAAAACTCGAAGAATCAAAGTAATTCATTGCCACAAATTAAATGGCAAAATGAAACTGTAAAGGGATGGAAAGATGGCTCTGAAAAGTAGGGACAGACCATGAATCACCTTTAGGCACAAGGGTGTTTATCACTGAGGAAGAGTTGGCAGCAGCTGCCAAGCTGGCATCACCAAGCACCCTTCCTCCCCCACTGTCCCTCCCCTATGCTCATGGATTCAATCCACCCCACTCCTCTGGTCACATAACCTTTACATACCCTAAACCTGCACAGCTTAGGGTATTTATGTGACAGAGGCTTACCAGAACTTCAAATCATCTAACAAATAAGGGCTCGAGTGAACCATCCAGAGCCTAGAAATCCTTACAGAACTACACAGCCCTCCACATCTTGTGATGCTATTTCACATGAAGCAAAAAAGAATTTACCACGTGAGTTGGAGAGATGGCTCTTTCCAGAGGACCTTGGCTTGATATCCAGCACCCCCTTTTCAAGAAACTCACAATGGCCTCTAAAACTTTAGTTCCGAAGGATCTGATACCCTTTCCTGACCCCTGCATTAATAAAATACGCATTAATACACATTAATAAAATAAAAATACATCTTTATAAAACAAAAACAAAAACAACCCACCAGGTTTCTAGCATAAAAATTCATAAAAAGATTCATTTGAATTAAGAGGGTTCATTTGCAAAGTGAAAATTTGGAAGACTATTAAAACTATGTAAATTCTTTTTAAACTAAGTGGAACCTAGATTAAGTAAACTGTTATTCAGTGCTATGTAATGTGACTATACAAGCCAGCAAGCAACTCCACAATCTTTTCTTTTTCTTTTTCTACTTCTATGAGCCAGAGCTCCTCTACATACTCAAAATGGCCTAGAACTTTTGCTCTTCCTGCCTTGCCCTCCAGAGTCCTGGGATGACAGACTACCATGCCTAGCTCCAATCAGGACATCTCTGAAAGTCAAAGGATACTGTTAACAACTTTAAAACAAACAAACAAAAAACAATAGTTAAAGAATCAGGCACTGTGGTGAACACACACCTACAGTCCCAGCTCCTCATGAGGCTGGGGAAGAAGTCATTTCAGTCAAAATGTTTGAGGCCAGCCTTGGCAACAGAGCAACTCCGTTTCACTCCCCACCAAAAGGAAACACGTCCTAAAGATACGGAAGTGTGGGAAACTGTATTCCCTGGTGTGCCTTGCTCCCTTCAAAGTTAAGAAGGCCAAATGGCACAAGCACCCTGTGACATGTGGTTAGCACTATTAATGAAGTAAACAGCCTACGGTTCATCATGTTGTGTTCCATTCCTCTACCCTCCCCCAACCCACTCCCAGAGACTGAACCTAGTTATCCATGCATGCTAGATAAGGGCTCTAGCACTGAGCTTTACTCCAGGCCCTCTTTTTATGTTAATACAGGGTCTCACTAGCCTAGGCCTCACTAATTCTGCAGCCCAGGCAGACCTTAAATCTGTAACCTGTCTAAGCCTCCCAAATACCTGGGATTACAGGCCTGGGCCACCTGCCTGACTTAAAGGTGGGTTTTAACATGAATGCTTTCCCCTTCCATGAGACACTTAACCACACAGCGACCACAATAGCGGAGATGAAATGTCAATGGATATTAAGTCTCTGGTCAAGCCCCTCTCTCCAACAATTCTAGCTTTTACAGGTGTAAAGCTGGCAGAACTGTGGGTTGGTCTACTGCATGTGTCTCCCTGAGATTGCTAATTTTCTGGAGGATTCTGCGCCAGGTGCTGTTCCCATTCAACTTCAACCAACTTATACAGCTCCATGGTGGCCTGGGCATCTTCCACCGAGGAATGTCCATTTTTTCCAGCCTATAGAGGAAAAGAACATGAAGACAACAAGAACTGTTTCTTCTTTTCCCAGCCAACTCTGTACTCCCTATAACCTGCTAGCCTTCCCATATACTTTCTTCTATAGTTTATGAAGTGTAGACAGAAATCTGTTGGGACCCTCCTCCCTAGCACATCTCTGAGGTTCAATTCCTAGGAAGCCTGCTCTTGTCTAATATACTCACCACCATAGCAATGTGTATGTATATATCATATTATTTAAGTTCTGCACAGGCAGGATATGTCAGGTCACAGCAGATCTGCTGAGTCTTGTTTCTTAAATGTTCGCTATGTGGCAAGTATCCATAGCTGCATATTCTGTAGTCACTGTCATGAAGGGCCGAGCATGTGAAATGTTTGAGTGGTCTTCTTTCCCCACCATACCATCTGGTACAGTCTATAAGGTACACAGGAATAATTATTTCTCCTCACAGACAGGAAGATTACTGGGTCTCAAACTGTGTGTGGTGGGGGCACTTGGAGAGGAGTTACCTGGATATCCCGACTCAGCAGCTTCTTGGTGAGATTCTTCAGTGACAAAGTGACATTCTCTGGGCAGTCAGCCTTCCGGTTGAGGAGTGGTATTTGGGAAGTGTCACGCGTGAGGGACTTGGGGTGAAAGTACTGTAGGGCTTTGTAGTCATTGTGGATGGCATGCCCTACCACTATCTTCCCTGAGAGAATCTTCAAGATCTGGAACAGGCACACAGGAGGTGATGAGAGGTGGAGTTCTTTATATTCTGAAGGCCCAACATGCTCATCACCAACACACCACACCTCCCCCACCCCATTCTTGAAATGCTCTCTCCCACAAGTGGATTCTTCTTATGGACTCCACCTCCTTCCCCTAGAAAACTGCTTGTATAATCCCATTTGGATCCGTATCACCAGAGGTTCCATACATATTTATTAATTTTCATCACAACAATGGTTATCAGTATTCTTTTTCCCCCCTAACAGAACCTTAAGGCCTTGCATATGCCAGGCAAATGCTCTACCACTGACCTATATCACTAGCTGCTTCCTTCGGTCTTCAGTGGCACACACATTAAAGATGCTGGTCATGGGGCTGAAGAGATGACTCAGCAGTTAAGAGTGTGTACCGGTCCAGAGTTTGGCTCCTGGAACCTATGTAGGGTGACCCACAACTGTCTGGTGACCCTTTTCTGGTCTCTGCAGGCACTGCACTCATGTGTAAAAATGCATATAATGTATAATTTAAAATAAATCCTTACAAAAAAATTTAATCACTAGGCAAGGTTGCATAAACTTACAATCTCAACACAAAGAAAGCTGAGGCAGGTTACAGTATAGCCTGCGCTACAGGAGACCCTGTCTCAAAAAGAAGGGTTGGATCTGGGAATGTGGCTGAGAGGGCTTGCCTAGCATGTATGAAACTGTGGGTTTGAAACCTAGCACTGCAATAACTGGGCACATTGGCACAGGCCTGTAATCCCCATACTTAGGTAGGAAGAACCAAAGTTAAAGGTCATTCTTGGTTCTACATCGAGTTTGAGGCTAGCTTGGGATATATAAGACAAGCCTGGGATATAGACACCCTGCCTCAAGGGAGAAAAAAATAGGCCAGTGAGATGGCTCAGAAGTACAGGTTTGCGTCACCATGCTTGAAAATCTGAGTTTGATCCCTAAAACCCTAATGGAAGAGAGAATCAACTTCCACAAGTTAGCCTCTGACCTCAACATGTGTGTCATGACACTCTATCCTCACACAACAACAACCACTTAAAAAGTAAAGCTGCAGATAGGGCTTTCTGCACACTTGTTCTCAGCGTTTAAAATCTTAAGGTCTGAAGGCTATACCCAAAATGGGATGTGAAAACAGCAGTGCCCCTGCACAGCCTTCAGGGACCCCACTTATTGCTACATCTGGGTGCATCTCAGACTCCTAACCCCAGCTTAGGCAAGATGAGAGGCTTTATGATGAAAACTACACAGCATGGTAAGTCCAGTCAATACGCATGGCTCTTTGTGCCTATGCTCACAGTCCAGTACCATCTTCATCTCATTTGCCCCTTGAAGCTGGGACCATTTGCAATCAGACCCACCCAAGCCTCTCCCACACATCTGCTCATTTTTGCCCTATGGACAGGATGTACACCAGCATTTCTTTCTATCTCTCTCTCTTTTTTCTTTTTGTTTTTGACAAAGGGTCTCACTGTGTAGTTCTGGCTGGCCTCAAATGTAGAGATCCACCTTGTCCCTGCCTCCTGAGTGCTAGGATTAACAGTGTGCACCAGCACTTAGCTACTTCATCTCTGATAAACCACCTTCAGTGGACTACCTGGCTTTATAAAGAGTCACTGGAGGGGCTGGGAATATGGCTCAGCTGTCAAGAGTGCTTGCCTAACATACATGGGGACTTGGGTTCTATCCCCAACACTGTGCAAACTAGGTGTGCTGGCACATGCCTATAATCATAGCACTAAGGAAGGTCAAAAGACTAAGGTCATCCTTAGCTACAAAGGCAGGTTGAGGCCAGCCTGGGCTACGAAAAAGAATCACTGGAACTGTGTCTGGAGAAAGCCAAGAGCAGGGACCTCAAATTGCAAAGGAGACCAATGGTGCCCTCTAGTGGCCTCCTCTGGCTCTCTTACTCACTCCATTTCTCTCTCCCTATCTTCAACTCTTTTTTATTATTAGTTATACCCTAACATGGGGCTGGAATGAGTGGGTTTGCTAAGTGAGGGAAACAACCCCCCTACAAGTCACATACCTTTTATGTCTTTTACTACAGGCCACCCAGATGGCCCCCAACCAATACAATTACACTCCAATTCAGCTTTAAAAAATATATATATATTGTTATACTTTGGGTGTGCACCATGTATGCTTAATGCCCGAGACCAGAAGAGCAACCCTGAACTGAAAATACAGACAACTGAAGATGAATCACTACATATGAACTGGGAACTGAACTCAGGTCTTCTGCAAGAGCTCCTAACTGCCCAGCCATCTTTCCAGGCTGTTTTTATTTTTTTATTTTGTTTTTGTAAGTTCTGCCTACTGCTACTCACACTTTCTCCAAGCCACTTCCACACCTGCAATTCCACCCACTTCTATCACCAGCTGGCCATTAATACTTGAAGTCAACTCCACTGGATACTCTGAAGTGGATCTCAACTAGTAAAATTACTTTTACCACAAAGTTGTAACTTCCCAACTTTAGCAGCTGATGCCTTGTCAAGCAGACAAGACCTAGAATCATGTAGAGAAGAAGTTCTGGGTATGCCTGTGAGGGACTTTCTAGACTGAGCTAACAGGTAGAGGTCCCAGACTGTCAGTGGTAACCAGCTGCCTCACACTCCTGCTGCCATGATGGACTGAACTGTCAAACTATTAGCCAGAAAAATCCCTTTCTTCTTTAAACTGATTCTGTCACAGCAATAAATAAATAAATAGTGTGATAAACCTGACTATGGTGGTTTGAGGTTTCGGAAGCCCATGCCAAGCCCAATGTCTATCTATCTTTGCCTGATGTCTGTGTATCAAGGTATAAAGCTCTCAGTTACTGCTTCAGTGCCATGCCTATTTACTTCCTGCCATGATGATAACAGACTAACCTTCTAAAACTGTAAGCAAGCCCCCAACTTTTTTAAGAGTTGCCTTGGCCATGGTCTCTTCATAGAAGAACAGTAAGGCACTGGTCATGTGATTCTCAAGACTTTGGAACTGGTTCTGAAGGAGGGATATGAGTATAGAACTGTAGGTTGGAGAAGCCCTAGAATGCTGTACACAGACCTGGTGGGATCCTGGAAGAGGACAAGGACAAGAATAATGCCAACAATGGAGGCCTGGCCCATCAGAGTTAGGAGAACTTGAATGAGGCTGAATTAAACAGTAATGAACTAATTTGTTTGGCAGAAGACACTTTCACACACGGTACTGTTCAGGCGGTGTCAAAGAGACTGCTCACTGCTCTTATCTAAGTCTACAGTAAGAAGGAGCACGTAGGATGTTAAAATATAAAGAACAAATAACAGTTTTTAGGGAAAGAAGCATACACATTCAAAGTTAAAGGCTATGAAAGGGGATACCTGCATTGGGACAAGAAAGGTACCTTAAGGGCAAGACCCCACCCACAGGTGCTCCCACAGAAAGCTCCAAGCTGTGAAAACACACACTGAATGGAGAAAGCCAAATTGAGAATCCTGCTTGAAAAACAGCACTTACAAAAGAGTCTTCAATCTCTCATCAGGCATTTTGAGCTAGAAGCAGAACTCTGCAATGCGTGGCACTGATTTAAGGGCATGAAAAATGCAAGAATAAGAGGGTGATGGGGGCTAGCATAGAGTTCTGAAGGCCATTTAGGGGCCAGGCCATGTGTGGCAGGGTTGGTATCCCTTTGAGGAGGCTCTCACACAAAGCTGTGAAGGTGAAACCTAAGTTACAATGGGGAATCTAGAATTTGGAAAATGCCAGAGCCATAGTACATTTGCCAAAATAAGCTGCAGGCACAGAGTGAAGCTAGCCCAACAAAGGGGTCTGTGTGCAGCAGAGCTGCAAAGGCCAGCATACCTGTGGGCCTTGCAGTCCAGACAATTGCATCACAAGTGTAGGATGCTGGACATGAAGCTGGAGGCCCTGGTGTTTGCTCCGCTGTGTTTCAACCTCATTCTGGTTTAGTTTTTCCTTTCTATGTCCCTGAGTAGCTATGCCCCTGTACGTATGCTCCTGAGTGGTATAAGCAAATCTGGAGGGAGCAAGGCAGTAATTCATTTCATGGATTCGTCTTCAGTTCCTGCTTCTAGGTTTCTGTCTTGAATCCTGCCCTGACTTCCCTTGGACTACAACTGTAAGCTAAAACAAACCCTTTTCTCCCAAAATTGCTTTTAGTCAAGGTGTTTAATCACAGCAATAGAAACTCTAAGAAATTGGTACTAGGTTGTAAAACACTGCTGTGATAAGACTAACCATATGTTTTTGGGAGGACTGTGAAAGGATTTTGGAATTTGGGACTGGAAAAGCCATTAGGTATTACTCAAAGCTGAAAGAGCTCCTGTGTGAACCTGGAGGATGATGCTGAGAGCAGTGCAGAGGATGAAGGCCTGCCTTGTGAAGTTTCAGAGGGATGAAAGTCTCTTCAAGACTCTAATCAAGGGGCAGCTATACAGCAAATGTCTTTAGTATCAGCACTCGGGAGACAGAGGTGGAGTTCTAGGCCAGCCTGGTCTACAGAGTGAATTCCAGGACAGCTAGGACCCTGTCTTGAAAATACAAAAACAAACAACAATAACCAAAAAAAAAAAAAAAAAAAAAAAAAAAAGGAAGGAGAAAGAAACAAACAAAGAAAGGAGAAGACAACACTATTACTCTGGTGAAATCTTCTGGCAAGTGCTTCTCCAGGGCAGCACACAGGAGATGTGTTCCAGTGTGGGCCAAGGCTGCATCTCATGCTGGCAGTAAGGCAGTAAGAGTCACCAATGTGGTACTGCTTTTGAAGTCATGATGGGATCATGAAGAGGCATTGGTGAAGGTGCAGCCTTAGTTGCAGTAGAAGGCCCAAGACTGAAGGGATCATGAAGAGAAGTTGTGGTCTGGCACCATGTGGCAAGGTCACAGTCCCTGATGGAAGTCCAGGAGAGGCTACTGGTGAAGGTGTCCTTTTGCAGTAGAGATCCCAGCACCATGGGATGACCACCAAGGATAGTAACAACTTTGGAGTAGAGCCAGCCTGATCCTAAGAGAAAAGCTGTGTGTGTGTGTGTGTGTGTGTGTGTGTATGCGCGCGCAGGGGCAAGCCTTTTGGAGCCTAGAAGATCATGAGTCTCAGAATATGATAGTTAAGTTTTATAATGCTGAACTTCAGTTTTGTTTTCTTTTGATGACTGTATCCTGGCTCTTTCCTCTTGAAATACTTGTTTTTGATATTACAGGAACCCACAGTAATGAAACCTTAGAGAAACTTTGGAATTCTAAAGAGACTTTAGATATTTTAAAGAGATTGACTTTTAAAGTGTTTCAATTTTTAAAGACCATGGGACTTTTAAAGTTATGAATGTTTTATATGTGATGTTGATATTAATATGACATCTTGGAGACAAGAAAGAAAGGTTATGGTTTAAAACAATGATGTGTTTGTGTGTCAGGTTGACAAGGGCTCAACTGTTTTATGTCAACTTGAGACATATATCTGGGAAGAGAGAATCTGATTTGAGAAAATGCCTCCACAAGATTAGTCTGTAGGGGCTGGAGAGATGGCTCAGCAGTTAAGAGCACTATCTATTCTTCCAGAGGTCCTGAGTTCAATTCCCAGCACCCAAATGAGGGCTCACAACCATCTACACTGGGGTCTGATGCCCTCATCTGGCATATAGGTGTACATGCAGTCAGGGCACTCATATACATAAAATAAATAAATCTTAAAAAAAATTAAAAAAATGGCCTATAGGCAAGTTTGTGGTGCATTTTCTTGATTAATGTGGGCGGTGCCACTCCCAGGCAGGTGGTCTTGGGTGTTATAAGAAAGCAGGCCGAGCAAGCCAGTAGCAGCATCCCTTCGTGGCCTGTGCTTTAGTTCCTGGCCTAGAGTTCCAGCTTTAACTTCCCACATGGGATTATAAACGTAAGATGAAATAAGCCCTTTCCTCTTCAAATTGCTTTTGGTCATAGTGCTTTCTAACAGCAGTAGAAATTCTAAAATAAACTAGGCATGGTGGTACATGCCTTTAACCCCAGCACACCCACCCGGCTCCACCTTACCCAGCCTTTGTTTTTGTTTTGGTGTGATGGTCTTACAGTTAAGAGTCTAGCTAAGTTTTAGAGACTCTTTGTATATTTTTGAACAGTGTTTAGACAGACTGTGAAAATGTCTGAAGTTGAACTAAATCCATTTTATATTATGAAATGGCTACAGGCTTAGGAGGACCAAAAACATAAGGTTATGGCTAAAAAGTGTCATGTTTGGGCATCAAGTTGACAAGAGGTAGACTTGTGATAAATTATCTACTTGATAGGATCTAGAATTATCAAGAAAAATTCTGATTGTATCTGTGAGCTTTTAGACTGGGTTCATTGAGGTGGGAAGATCCACAATAAAAACAAAACAAAAATAACCTATTCATTCCATTGGCCAGAGTCCTAGGCTGAATAAAAAAGAATCAGAGAAGCAGCATTCATTTCTCTCTACTTCCTGACTGCTTGGTAGCTGCATCTTGTTCTTGCTGCCACAATTTATGAACTATGATAGAATACACCTTTCAAATATGAGCCCAAATAAATTCATTCCTTTGGTCAGGTATTTTGTGACAGCAGCCAGAAAAACAATTCCTTATCCAACAGGAAGCCTTCCCAATCATGTGGCAATATCCTCCCCCTTCCTAATCCTTTGACACCTCCCCAGAATATCACTTGCTGACAGTCTTGACTGTCTTGCCCCATGCTCCTCACCTGACTTCGAGCAATCTTAAAGGGTGTAGCATTTGCCATGTGGCTCTTTCGGATGCCACTCCATCTGGTCCGGTAGTCCACAATATGGCAGGGGGGGAGGACATACTCGTCATAAAGTACATCTCCATTGTAGTTCACAATGCTGCAGCGAGCTAAGGAACTAACACGCCCCTTGGGTCCTGTGCCCACCATTTCACAATCGATTGCTACCATCTTCCCTGGTAAGTTTTGGAAGACTTTAGGGCACTTATCCTCTGAATAAGCTTGGGTGGAGCATTGTGCAGCATTTTTCTTCAAGGGCTTCTGGGAGCCTTTATTCTTTGAAGGACCTTGCATGGAGTTCTGTGCAGCACTTTTCTGTGAGGGCTTCTTGGAGCCCTTACTCTCTGATGGAGCTTGGGTGGAGTTCTCGGAGGCATTTTTTTTCAAGGGCTTCTTCTTGGAGCCCTTTTGGGTGGGAGATGGGTGGCTCTTAATCTTTGGAAGGGCACTCTGAAACTCCCCTAGCAAATCTATTTTAGCCACAACAGAATCATTCTTCTTTGAAGGACCAGGGGTCAGCCAAGACAATGATGCTTTCTTGTCTATGGACTGCTCTGCCTCCCTTTTGGAGGCAGCTGCCTCTTTCTTCTTTGGGCAAGGAAGGATCTTAAAAATGCCATCTACTCTTGAAGTTTCCCCTTTCTTTGGAGGTTCTGAGTTCAATTTAGACACCTTGCTAGGGGGTTGGTTCTTTTTATTCAGAAATCCTCTCTGTTCCAAGAACCGTCGCTTCTTGACAAAACGTTGATGCTTGGCATTTCCTCCAAATGCCTTTTTTGAAGGTTCCCCAAAGTCCAAATTCAGGAGTATGGTAGACATGAGGACAGCAGATGATGGGTGAGCAGCTGGCAAGAATGGCTTATTGATGGAAGAAGGATGAGAGGCTCATTCTCTGTGGAATCCCGTAGTTCAACATGTGGAGGTCTGCAATTAGCCCTGGGGACAAAAGTAATCCCGATACCTGCACCATAGGTCCGGGGGGTAACGGGGAATAAGATAAGACCAATTCTGGAAGACTTCAATGATACTGTTCTAAGCCCAAAGCCTGGATACAATGAAGACCTACAATTCACTTTGGAGTTGGCCTTAAAAGGGTTACTTTCCCTCTCCAGATCTGTGTCAAAAAAAAAAAAAAAAAAAAAAGGAAGATGCTGGGGCTGGTGAGATAGACGACTCAGTAGTCTCAGTAGTTAAAGGCACTTGTTGCTCTTGCAGAGGTCCGGAGTTCAGTTCCCAGCACCCATGCGGTAGTCTACAGCATCCCTATTTCCAGTTTCAGGGAAATAAGATGCCTTCTAACCTCTGCAGGGCCCCAACAGTTAAATAGTGCACATATATACATACAGGCAAAACACACAATAAATCTAATAACATAAAGTGAAGATGCTGAAACTGGGAGTAAAAAGGGGGCGTGGGGTCCACGGAGTTCGAACTCTGCCATGTCTATAAAGTCAAAACAAGGGCGTTCTGAAAACAGCAGAGAAATGAAACGTCTAAGTACGTTTTTCAGTGGTGAGAGGATACAGGACAGATGTCTTCTAAATTACTCAGGCATCCTTAGCATGGCACCAGAAAAGAGCAGATCCAGGCACCGCTCTCCATCGGCTCCACGTAGGGGCGCGATCTCCTCAATCACCTCACCTGTACCCCACAGCAAGGACTTGTACCACACACCAGAGGATCTGAGTGGGGGAAACTCAGGGACCCAGGCGGGGCACCTCAGCCTGCACACTGTTGACAGTCCACGCGGTGCAGGCCATCCCCGAACACCTCTCATACTTACTCCAAGTTGGGTTCCACTAAGATCGCAAGCGTCCAGAGCCGGATGCGGAAGCAGGCGCACGCCGACGTATACCCGGACGGCAGGAGCGCGGATGGCTGCGAGAAGGGGGCCGGCGCACACGCGCCCGCTGCGCCCCCACCTCAGGCAGCGAGGCCAGCGACTCGGAGTGCGTGAGCAGCGGCAGCGGCGGCGGTGGCGGCGGCGGCGTGGGTGGGGGCGGGGGCGGGATACGCTCCCCGGCCCCTCGGGCCCCGTGGAGGTACAACTCGAAGGTGGTTGGCCGCGGGAAGCGGAACAGCCCGCCCCGGAACCGTGGCCCCACTTCCGGGGGGAGGGCGGGACCTGTAGCTGGCCGCCCCACTGTAAGCTGGTGCTGGGCGCACCTCTGTGACGTCACCGAGTCAGCTCCTGTGCAAATAGCTTTGCTCGGCGGAAGCCGTGACGTTTGACAAGTGCGTCTTGTCATTCCTACCTGGACGAGGTTGCGGGAAGCGGTGCTGTTGGGCGGGTTCGGAGTTCTTGCTTCGTGTTGGGCCTGCAGAGTTGAGCCCAGCTTGTACCTTGTACACCGGGGTACCGACCTTGTGTCTCGTCACTTCCCTCCTTGCACTGCTAGTCAGGCCGCGGGATGCCTGGCGTTTCAGCCCATGGCCTCTCCTATGAGGAACGAAGGCAGCTGGCTGTGAACCTCACCCGCGTCCTAGCGCTCTACCGTTCCATACTGGACGCCTACATCATCGTGAGGCTACTGGGCTGAGGGCGGGGTTCTTCTTATGGTGAGGGTAGTTAGCTCACTACAGAGAAAATTTAGAGACAGCTTTTATCTCTTCTGTACAAGGAAAGCTGAAGACTAGAATAATTTCTACCCGAGCCTTCTCTCTAGGAGCTCTTCCCCTCGCCCCCCAACATTTGGGCGGTGCTGCAATTGCGGTGACCTTTCCTGGAAACATACGAGGTGTTCCAGAGCATACATGTTCAGGCTTTAAATACATTTCTAGTTTTGTAATATAGCGAGCAGTTGAGCTTTGAAATTAGACAATTGAACTAGAGTCTTGCGTCTACTGTTAACATTTTTCTTTCGCCTTCCATTCCTATCCCTGTTTTCTTGACCCTAAAATTGATCTGAAGGATACTGGGGGGGGGGGGGGATGAGAAAAAGTGTCAATGTCACCTTCTGAATTTCTCAAGCCTCATTTCATTCATTGATCCGCAAGATTTTATTTTGTGTATGAGTGCTCTACCTGCATGTGTGCCTATATCCCAGAAGAGGGCAGTAGAAGATATAAATGGTTGTGAGCCATCATGTGGTTGCTGGCACTTGAACTCAGAACCTCTAAAAGAGCAGGCAGTGCTCTTAACCATTGAGCTATCTCTCCAGCCCTCTGTGCGAAATCTTACCTCTCCCTTCCCAATGCATCTGAAATTCAACTCTTCCCCGCCCTCCCTTCTTTTCACTCCAGTTGGTGATCCTCCTCCTTCAGCCTCCTAAGTACTGAGATTACACCAGCTGAAGATAAAACTTACTATTGTGCAATCTTGGGGTTTTGTTGTTTGGTTTTGGTTTTTCTTTTTCTAATTTTTATTTAGTATGCACTGGTGTTTAGCTTTCGTGTGTATCTGTGGGAGAGTGTCAGCTCTTGGAGTTATAGACAGTGTGAGCTGCCATGCGGGTGCTGGGAATTGAACCCCACTCCTTTGGAAAAGCACTCAGTGCTCTTAACCACTGAGCCATCTCTCCAGCCAGGTTTTTGGTTTTTCAAGACAGGGTTTCTGTGTAGCCCTTACTGTCTTCAAACTTGCTCTGTAGACCAGGCTGGTTTTGAACTCAGAGGAAGTCCTTGGCCAGATATGGTGCACACTTGTAATCCTGGCACCTGAGGATAGATGCAGGAGAATCAGGAAATCAGGGTTCATCTGGGCTACAAAACAAGTTCTAGACCAGCCTGGGCTAGACTATGTTGCTTCAATAGAAAAAAAAAAAATTAAAAAGCAGGGCAGATACATCATGGCTCCTGCCTGTAACCCTACCCCTCAGAAGACTGAGGCAGGACAATTGCCTTGATTTGCAGCCCGCTCAGACTAGTGTTGAGATTCTTCTCAATCCCCTGCACTGTTTATACAGGCACCTCCAAGGCCTGGGAGTGGGGAGCTGTAACTTTAGAGCAGCTTTCTCACCTTCCTAAGGCTGCAGCTCTTTAGTACAGTTACTCATGTTGTGGTGACTCCATAAAATGATTTTTGTTGCTACTTCATAATTATAATTTTACTACTGTTATGAATTGAAATTTAAGTATTTGATATGCAGGATATCTGAAATGCAACCCCCTCCAAAGGGGTCACAACCTACAAGTTGAAAACCACTGTTCTAGAGTAAATACTTCTCTAGGGCTAGTGAGATGGCACTGCAGTTAAAAGCATCTACTGCTTTTTCAGAGGGCCAGTTCTGTGCCTATCACCCACACAACTGGTGGCTCATAGCCACTTGTATCTCCAGCTTCAGGGGATTTGATGCTTCTGATTTCTGTGGGCACCTGCATTCATATGCACATACCCATCCACAGATGACACACATACATAATTAATAATAAAAGTACTTTTAAAACGTTTTGTCTAGGAGAGATGGCCCAGAGGTTAAAGAGGTTAAGAGGTCTTCCAAAGGTCCTGAGTTCAATTTTCAGCAACCACATGGTGGCTCACAACCATGTATAACGAGATCTGGTGCCCTCTTCAGGTGTGCAGGCACACATGCAGGCAGAATGCTGTATAAATAATAAATAAATCTTTTTTAAAAAGTTTTGTATAACTTGTATGAGGCCCTGGTGGGGAGTAAATTCCCTAAGTATTGCCAAAATATTTTAAAACATTGAAACAGGATATGGTGGCGTGTCACTTTAATCCTAGCACGTGGATTACAGAGGCAGGCAACACCTGAGTTACAAGCCAGCAATAGCTACATAGGGAGACCCTGTCTCAAAAACAAAACAAAACTTGCTTAAGTGTTTTCAGAATAGTGAAGATATATGTGTGGGTGTTTACTTCTGCTTGTATTTTCTTTACATAACAACTCTAAACTGAAGTGTCAGTTTACATCTTTTTTTGTGTGTATGGAGTTTAAAGTAGTTCTCCATTAAGCTCTCTGTTAGTTTCATAAGTGTTTTATCCTATGTGGTATTTGTGTTAGCTGAAATAATTATTTGTATTAGTTTTCGATGCTGGAGATGGAACCCAAGACCTTGTGCATGCTCGCCAAGCACTCTTATTTTTATTTATTTATTTATTTATTTGGTTTTCCAAGGCAGTGTTTCTTTGTGTAACAGAGCCCTGGCTTTTCTGGACTCACTTTGTAGACCAGACTCAGAGATCTGTCTTCCTTTCCTGAGTGCTGGGATCAAAGATGTACACCAGCATGCCCAGCCCTGATTAAGCACTCTTTTTTTTTTTTTTTTTTTAAGATTTACTTATTATTTACACAATATTCTGCTTGTATACCAGAAGAGGGTACCAAATCTCATTATACATGGTTGTGAGCCACCAGGTGGTTTCTGGGAATTGATAAATTTTCGTTTTGTTTTTTTAAGACAGGGTTTTTCTGTGTAGCCCTACCTGTCCTGGAACTCACTCTGTAGATCAGGCTGGCCTCAAACAGAGATCTACCTGCCTCTGCCTCCCCAGAGCTGGGATTAAAGGTGTGCACCACCACCACCTGAGTTGCTAATTTTTTTTTTTTTTCAAAGTAAACTGCAGGAACAAGACTCTTGTCTCTCCAAGTTTACAATAGATTCTGGTGTGTAAATAAAGCCTCAGAACTTTTTTTGCAGAGGGCATTAACTCTGGCTGTCCCAGAATAGACCAGGTTCACCTTGAACTCACAGAAATCCTCCTGCCTCCTGAGTGCTGGGAGAAGGTGTGTACCACTATGCTCAGCAGGAGGCCATTTGCCAGAAAACAGAATAGGTGTCCTTGTCATTGGGGTTGTGGAGACCAAGAGTCTGATTCACTGGTCGGTAACTCCCCTAATAATTAAGGCTTTTTACATTAGTTGATTATTTTCAGACAAGGTCTCACTATGTACAGGCTGGCCATAAACTCATAGAGATATTCCTGCCTCTGCCACCCAAGTAGTGGGATCTTTTGGTGTTCGACACCATTCCTGGCCCTCAAAGCCCCAGAATTTAAAAAGAACAAATGAATGAGTTAAAATACAGAGCTGTCTGTATAGGTTACTAAATAGTTACTTGTTAATGCAGTGTGTCACTCACTGATCGAGCTGTTGATGCAGATATTTTTAAAACAATTGGTAAAGTCATGCATTGTCGTGCATGCCTTGGGACAGAAGCAGATCTCTGTGGGTTTCAGGCCGGCCTTCTACACAGTAAGTTTCAGGACAGCCAAGGCTACACAGACCTTGTCTCAAAAAAACCAAACAGGCCAGGTATGGTGGCACACACCTTTAATCCCAGGGAGGCAGAGGCATAGGACAGCTTGGTCTACAGAGCAAGTTCTAGGACAGCCAGGACTACACAGAGATATCCTGTCTTGAAAAAAAATCAAACAAACAAAAAACCCAACAAACCAAAAAAGAAAGTGAGTGGAGAAAGCAAACATAAATAAGTAGGGACATAAATGAGAGGTGTATCCGGAATGCAATCTGTCCACCAGGGCATTAGTGGAGGCTGGGGCAGATGATGAGAGCTGATAGAGATGAACAGGAGATACAGGCATTTGGTCATCTTGGGCACTAACTAGTGCCAGAAAAAGGCAGGTGATCAGGTAGAGAATTGAGACTGACCCGAGAAAATGGGAATAGTAGTACAGTTCTGACTGCTTGGCTCCTTCTGCAGGAATTTTTCACGGACAGCCTGTGGGGCACACTCCCCAAATCATGGCAAGAAGCACTGGATGGACTAAGCCCACCACAGCTGGCCACTCTGCTGCTGGGGATGCCCAGAGAAGGGGAAGAGGTCAGGTATGTGTAAGCCAGAGGAGCCCTGAGCTGGGGAATGAGAGCACCTAGCCATATATGGAGCCTTGTGTAGATAGCCATGGATTGTCCTGGGCCACTGGGTTAAGCTGGTGCATTCAGGATATGATTGTGTGCTATATTCACTGGCAGCCTGGGCTGGACTATCTCAGCTACAGGTCTGTGTGGCCACTCACCCTGCTGGCCCTGAAGTCCACAGCCTGTGCCCTTGCCTTTACCCGGACACCTGGCTTTCACACCCCATCAGAATTCCTGGAGAACCCCAGCCAGAGCTCCCAACTAACGGCTCCTTTTCGGAAACATGTCAAGCCCAAGAAGCAGCATGAGATCCGAAGGCTGGGAGAGGTGAGGAGCCACCTGGAGGCCAGACTGTCTGAGAGCCCAGTACTCCTAAAGCCTATAGTTATGAAGATGTATGGTCCTTACTGCATATGCAGGAACCCAGCAACTTCAGAAGTCTCCTTCCTCAGCAAACATGCTGGAATTACATCTGTTGGTGCTGGGAGACTCCCCCGCCCTTTTTCAGTGTTGGTTGACAGCTGTGTGTGGGGGTGACTTGTATTCCTGTTCATTGCAGTCAGTTTTTGGTTTTACAGCCTGCAGGGCTCTTGCTCTTAAGGGGCAGACTAGGCAAAGACACCTACCATCATCCTCAAATTCTGGTTTGACATCTCATATATCTCTGTGGCATCCTCAGTGTTTCCCTCTACCATCTTGGCTACTACCATCCTTGTGAGTATTTGCTTCAGGAGCCAATGCCAAGAAGAGCCTTTTGTTTCCTCTTCTTTCAGTTGGTGAAGAAACTGAGTGATCTCACTGGCTGCACCCAGGTTGTGGATGTGGGCTCAGGCCAGGTGAGCCAGATTCCTAACATACTGCATACTATTTGAGTTTTGAGGGGACACCAGGAAGGCAGATTAGCCCTCAGAAGCAGGTGCTAAGAAGTGTGTATGTGAGTGTGTTTGGGGGGAGATATTATAAGCCTTTGGTAGAGCCCAGGACCCAGTTGTCCACACCACTGATAGGGTGACAGCCAATAGGGCACTGAACAGTGCTGTCCTCCCTCATGACTCCAGGGACATCTCTCCCGCTTCATGTCTCTTGGGCTGGGGTTGACAGTGAAGAGCCTTGAAGGGAATCAGAGGCTGGTAGAGAGAGCTCAGCGCCTAGACCAGGAGCTCCTGCAGGCCCTGGACAAAATGAAGAGGAGGCACCCAAAGGTAAGCTACCCTTTCTTCAGCCTGCACTATAGGGGAGAAAAAGTAAACACACACACACATACACACTATAGTGCTGGAACTGCTTATTGACTCATTTTCTACTTGCAAGTTTCTCAGTTTGAGATGGTCCCTATTATTTTTGCTGTTTTTTTGCCCCTTCCCCCAAAGCATCCCACAGCTCAAAGGCACTTTCTAGTTTGTGTAATTTCCATACCAGTATGTTCTCATAGCAAACTATGATGTAGCCATATGGTTACTATTATTTGCTGTACTAGGGATGAACTAAGTCCCTGACCCATGGTCACGTATTAGACTCATTACCAACAAGAAAACATGAAGAACTGGGATAGAGCTCTGTGGTAGGGCACTTGCCTGAGCATCCATGAAGCCCTGGCTTCCACCCTCAGCACCACCAACAGAAGGAAAAGGGAAAGTGAATTAGGTATGGTGGTACATGCCTGTAACACCAGCACTGAAGAGGCATGAACAGGATTCATGAAGATTTGCCTGCTTAGTCAACCTATTGAGCTCCAGGTCAAAAAGGGCTGCAAAGACCTTATCTCAGCCCCTATGCTACCCAAAAGGAAAAGGACAATAACCTGAAGATGAAAAGGTCTACAGTCTTCAGAGTCTAACTCTTGTGCCTAGCTGTTTCAGAGGACAGTCACCCAACTTTGCATCTGCCTTTGTTTTTTCTCCCTCCACAGGTGGCACAAAGAGGCCCTCACCACTGCCCCCACCATGTGGTTCAATGGGTTAGTCCCACAACTCTGTGTGAGGAGCTTCTGCTTCCTCTGGAGATACCAGGCCAGTGTAGTACCCGTCTGCTACTCACGGGCCTTCATGCTTGTGGGGATCTGAGTGTTGCATTGCTGAGACACTTCTGCTGCTGTCCTGAAGTGGTAGCCCTGGCCTCTGTAGGCTGCTGCTACATGAAACTCAGTGACCCTGGCAGCTATCCACTCAGTCAGTGGGTGGCTGGGCTGCCCAGCCACGAACTACCCTACAGGCTCCGGGAAGGGGCCTGCCATGCCCTGGAAGACTATGTGGAGAGGCTACAGAAAGCGGGTCCTGGTCTGCAAACACACTGCTTCCGTGCAGCACTGGAGACAGTCATCCGACATGTCTGTCCTGAGCTTCGGAGGCCTGGCGTGCAAGGAATCCCCAGGGTTCATGAACTCAAGATTGAAGAGTGAGGTCTGGGGAGTCTCCCCACCTATCCACACTTACTAGCCCAGCCAAAGAAAATGTGTGTGCCCAGAGGAATGGGGCATTTTATTCTGAGGGCAGACTGACTACATAGTGAGATTTTGTCTCAAAAACATAAAACAGGCAGGTGTAGTAGCTCATGCCTTTAATCTCAGCATCCAGGAGTCAGAGACAGACAGATCAAGGTCAGCCTGGTCTACAAAGTGAATTCCAGGACTACACAGAGATACCTTGTCTTAAACACTCACACAAACTTCTATTTAGACTAGGTACTATGGTCTGCCTGGGGAGCCTAAGCTAGGAAGACTACTTGTACTCAGTCTGGGGCCAGCCTGGGCAAAAATGACCTTTTAAAATGCCTATTTAAGCAAATCAAGGTAGAAATCAGCTTCTAGAAAAAGGTTTAAGTAGGAGGGGAAGTTTCAACTAACTGACTTATGGCTGGTCCCACAGATACGTGCAACGAGGGTTACAGCGAATAGGTCTAGATCCCCAGGTGCCCCTGGACCTGGCTGCCCTTCAGGCCCACCAAGCCCAAGAGAATCGTGTGACTGCTTTCTTCAGCTTGGCCCTCCTGCTGGCCCCACTGGTAGAGACACTGATTCTGCTGGACCGGCTGCTCTATCTTCAGGAGCAAGGTGAGGGGATGAGGTTCTGAGATTCCCTTGAATCCTTGTAGTGTGCTGGGCCTGGCCATTGCCTGATGGGTGGGCCATTTGTTGACAAATGTAGATTTCTGGCAACACCTCCCAGAAGACTTGTTTTGGTTTTAAGATTTTTGTGACAGCCAGGCGTGGTGGTGTATGTCCAAAATCCCATTACTTGGGGAGGCAGAGGCAGGCAGATCTCTGAGTTCAAGGCCACCCTGGCCTACAAAGTCCAGTACAGCTAAGACTACACAAAGAAAACCCTATATCCAAAAACAACAACAGAAGTGTATGTACACATACGCCATGCTTTTGGGTGTCCAATTTCCTGGAATTGGAGTTGCAAGCAGTTATGAGCTACCAGTGTGGGTATTAGGAACCAAATTTGAGTATGCTGGAAGAGCAGCAAATGTTCTTAACCACTGAGCCCTCACCAGCATCCATGAGATGAATTTTAAGCAGTGCTGCAGGCATTGAGAAAGCACATGGACTGTCAAGTCTTCTCACTTTGGAATAAGGAGCTATGCTACAGGATGGGCAGAGAGCCTGGGTTGAACTCCTGTTTCCTTTCTAATTAGCCCTCACTTTCTCCTAGGCTTCTATGCTGAGCTCTTGCCCATCTTCAACCCTCAACTCTCTCCCAGAAATCTGGTACTGGTGGCTACCAAGACACCCCTGGGTCAGGCCTTCTCTGCTCTTGAAACTGAAGACAGCTGACAGTCTGAAACCAGCAGGTGGCAATGTGACTAGGTATTATGTCACCATTTAGAGTACCCTGCATTTCCCCGGGATTCAGATTTATACCCTTTCTCTCCCTTCACATGTAAAGTAATAACTGTAATTTTTATTTATTAAAACTCTTAAGTCCTGTTTCTGTAAATACTTTGTAATTTTTATCTAGTTAACTCCTATTTCTGTAAATAGGGAAAAGAACAGAGGGCCTTCTCACTTCTATGCCCAAACACGAAGGACCTGCCCCCAGGAAAGCTAGCATCTGCCTAGTATGTCCTGATAACAAAAGCTGCACCATGACTGAGCTCCTCAAAATGCAAAAGGAAAAAGGGTAATGTGGCTAGCAGCTGAACTCGAGGCGCTTTATTGTTGTTTTAGGAAGAAAGGCTTCTACCCTCAAAGTGAAGACTGAGCAGACACCTTTAATCCCAGCACTAAGGAGGCAGAGGCCAGGCAGATCTCTTGTGAGTCAGGGCCAGCCTAGTCTACAAAGAGTCCAGGGCAGCCAAGGCTACACAGAGAGAAAGCCTGTCTCAAAAAACAAAACAAAAAAAAGACTGAGCAGGTAGAAGTATTACTCTCAAGCTCAATACCAATAAATTTTCTTGTGTCTTCGAGTCTCCTGGATCCCCATGGCCTCCATCACATCTTCTTCTAATGTCTTTAGTCGGGCCACGTAAGTTCTTTCTAGAGCATCTTCCACTGATGTGTCCTTGGGACCATCTGTTGAGTCAGAAGAAAAGAGATGGTAAGTTTGCCACCTCCTTAGTTAGGGATGGAGCCCATGACCCTGCTCATGCTAGGCAAGTCTTCTACCACCAAGTACATTCCTAGCCCCACCAACTCTGCTTGTCTTCTTACACCTCACATCCCTACCCTCTTCCTGCTTATCCCCAGCTTACCAGTCCATGTTTCAGGGACAATGCCATCTGCTCTAGGAAACTCAGGTTTGGGGATAATTCTCCCAGACCTTGTAGAGACTCGAACCCGCTCTCCTGACTCGGTAAATCTCCACTGGATCTCAGTGGGTTTCCTGGTAGGTTGGGGGAAAAAGTCTAGCTTAGAGCCACTCTCCAACCCAAAAGTGAAGGCAGTGGTTGAGGACCCCGGGTGTCTCTCTCTCGTATCAAGGTTACTGACAGAATTGTGTCCAAGAAACAGACCCCAGAGTTCCAGAGTATCCAACACACAATTCTCATGTGATGAATGGGTATGACCAAGATCAATGTGCATTCAAGAGTTAGAAGCCCCTTGACCAGAAGCCCCTGTGCTTGCCTGTCCACGGGGTCGACTAGCTTGACCTGGTGATGAAGCAAGGGGGCTTCACTAGCTATCATAGTCCCTCGGTGATCTTTGGTCCTGCCAATGTAGCGGTAATGCTGTCCAAGAGAAGGCAGTATCAGAAAGAAAGTATGTGAAGGGGATTTTGCCCATTATTGCTTAGCATATTCAGCCCAAAGCCCCTCAACCAGTTTCCTGTTTTCCCCTGCTGCCCTTAAGAAAAGGACAGATGGGGAAGACTTCTCAAGTCCCCAGCCTCCTTCCACTCACCGTGTTCAACCCCTCCAGGACAACCCAGTTCCGCTGCCGAATGACTTGGACCACTTTGCCCTGCTTCCCAGCATCCTTGCCATCTAAGATTTCCACCTGTAAGAAGATGAGAGGACAAGGAAAGGAAACTGTTGCCCACAAACCTTCTTGTCTCTCTGTCTTGAGGTTCTTACCATGTCTCCACAGAATAGGTGCCAGTCATCATCAGAGATGGGCTCTACCACTACTGGGCGCCGCCTGCTCCATGGGGGGTTCTTCCTTTTGTCTGCTAGGGAGCCTGGACGGCTCATCCCATAGCGGTAGTGAGGTGAGAGGGTGGCTTTGGATGCCAAGGCCAGCAGGGCAGAAAGACGCATGGCTAAATGTAAGAAATCTCACCAGTGAAAGACTCAAAAAACTTTCTTCACCAGCTGTGAGTCAAGAGAAACAGAATGAAGATTTGAACAAAGGAACTTTTTGTTTTTTGAGACTGTCAAAACCCTATTGTAACTCTGGCTGACTGAGAACTTGTAATGAGAACTCTGGAATTTTGGCTTCTTTAAAATAAATAAATAAACAAACAAATAAATAAATAAATATGTTTTTGTTTTGATCCCAGGTGTATGGACGGGCATGGGTCTGCTTTGGACTGTCCGCAGCAGCTGACTATGATTTGCCTCCTGTTCTAGCAGCCACATGGTTTGCCAGCTGTTGATAGTTTCTGTGACTGAGTGATATTTGAAATTCTGGGTATTTTTTAGAGGATATATAAATGTTAGGGCCCTGGGAGGCATGGTTGGTGGTTGGTGGTCATTGGCGGGAGGGGAGACAGTTGGTTGAGGTTTGTTAGCAGTCACGCTCAAAAAAATAAAAGGAATTAGATGTCTATCTGTCTCTCCCCTCTATACTGTTTCTCTTCTCTCTAGTGATAGGGGGGTTAAACTGGGGTGGGGGTAAAGGGTGGGAAAAAGAACCCATAAAGTAGCAAAGACAAGCTACAACTCACTATGTAGACCAGGCTGGCCTTGAACTCTCAAATCCTGTCTGCTTCTGTCTCCTTTCCTAGTGCCAGGACTAAAGGTGTGTACTACCACACTCTGCCCCCAGGAATGTTATTAAAGCATTTACTTCTTCCATAGTGGACTTCATCTCATTCCCACTTCTCAAGAGTCATCTTTACAGATGAAAAAAGGAAGGAGGTTATGTAACTTTCATCCATGGTGACAAAGCTAGAATTGAAGCATTCAAACCCCCATATATCTGACTTCAAAGTAAAAAATTCACTGAGGCCAAGGACCACACTAATTAGCTTCTTGGATTGCCATCTCAGGAGAGCTTGGTACTGAAGATACTTAAGACAGTTATCACATGGATATGTGTACAGTAGGAAAACAGATAATAGAAGAAAGCACCAGGACAGAGCCTGAAGGCAAGCAGTCACAAGGCAAAGTGAACAGAAGGGTAGCAAGGACAATAGCTTACAGTGTCCTAGCTAACAGGTCTAGACATTAGCACAACTGACTCCGCAATGGAAGTACATTTAGACCATAAACTCAGCATGTAGACAGCACTGCTGGAGGGTGTTTGTGCACTGTGTATACAAATGCTGGTCTCTGTGCCCAGAGATGTAGTTACAGTCAGGGCGTTGGCACTGTGACTACTATGAAGCACCCCAGTCTCCATGTTGTGTAAAAACTGTTCTCCATTGCCTCCTGATTGGCTAATAAAGAACAGCCAGGCACAGTGGCACACACCTGTAATTTCAGCACTCTTAGGAAAAAGCAGGCATCTCTCTGAGTTCAAGGCCATCCTGATCTACAAGACGAGTCTAGGACAGCTAAGGCTACATGAGAAACCCTGAAAGGAGGATGAAGAGGAGGAGAACAAGAGGAAAAGGAAAAGAAGGAAGGAGGAGGAGAAGAGGAGAAGGAAGAGAAGAAGAGCTAAATAATAAGAAGAAAAGAACTAAACAGCCAATCGCTGGGCAGGAGAGAGATAAGACAAGACTTCCAATCCCAGTGAAGGGGTCTCAGGTAGGGACCAGAGAGAGGAGTCACCATGAGGACATGGATGAAAAAGGAACAGCTGGAGTGAGACTAAGAAGGTAGGCAACAAGCCACGTGGCTGATAAGTAGGCCAGGCCAGCATAGCAAGGTTAGAATAGCACAGTATCTGCCTGGCTATTGTGCCAAAAGCTTTTAATAAATATAAAGGTCTCCATGTCATTGTTTGGGAGCTAGGATGGCCATGGGTGGGGGGGAAACTTACATTTTACAGAGTAGCACCAAGCAAAATGAAAACAAAGACTTTATGCATCAAAGTCCATAGTTCTGGAAAAGTTCTAAATGTACTAAGCTTGCTTTTTTGCTTCTTTAGTTCTGCTTCTGACTAACTGTTCTTGTTAACTGAAGTACGTCAACACAAGACATGATTTTTGTGCTTAAAAGCTCACCATTAGAAATGCTTGGGACTACACTGGGATCCCAAACACCCAGTGTAGTCACTCTTTGGCTAATGACTTTCTGTTGGCTTGAACCAGTGTTTGAGCTGTCTTTTCTGGTAGATACCATCCTATCAGATGGGAAAAACCCATTCCTCCCTAAGGATAACTTTTTCTCTAAGACTTAAGGACCCCCAAGCCTATACTCTAAGGTTGTTGACTCTTTAAGTTTCCTCTCTAAGTATGTGCTAGCAGATTCCCAATTTTGGATGGTAGGCTACATTAATAGATTACTAAAATAATTGGTTTAAAAAAAAAAAAGTGGGCTGGACAGATGGCTCAGTGAGTAAGAGCACTGTCTGTCCTTCCTAAAGGACTAGGGTTCAATTCCCAGCACCCACGTGGCAGCTCACAGCTGTCTGTAACTTCAGTTCCAAGGGGTCTGACACTTTCACACTAATGCACATAAAATAAAATTAAATTATATATATATAAAAAAAAGTATTTTAAGCCAGGCCTTCCAGCTACTTCAGTGGCTGGGGTAGAGTAATCACAAGTTCAACACCTGCTTGGACAACTTCATGAGAACCTGTCTCAAAAAGTAAAAGGTGAGGCTGAGGAGATGGCTAAGTAGTTAAGAGCACTTGTTCCTTTTCCTGAACCTGGATTTGAGTCCCAGCACCCACATGGTGTTTCACAACCAACTGTAAGTCCAGTTCCAGGGAACCCAACATCCTCCTCTGGCCTCCAAAGGCATTAGGCATGCAAGTAATGTACGTACATACATGTAGGCAAAGCACACATTAAACATTTTTTTAAATGAATAAATCTAATTTTTAAAAAAGATAAAACAAAACCAGATGTGGTAGTGCACAGACTTGTGTAATGCCAGCATTTGGTAGGAAAGAAATAAGTTTGAGGGTTGAGGCCAGGCTACATAGAAAACCCTTTTTAAAACTTTTAAATGGGGGAGGAGGGAGAGAGGCTCTGCAGTTAAGAGCAGGTATTGCTTTTGCAGAGGCCCATCCATACCTCCAATTCTACCCCTACTTTGACCTTTGCTGGAACTAGCAACATGCATAGTGTACATATATACATGCAGATAAAGACTCCTACACATAAAAATAATTTTTAAAAAAAGGATCAATGATGAGTGCAGTGGGACATGCCTTTTACTCCAGCACTTCGGTGGCCGACCTCAGTGAGTTCAAGGCCAACCTGGTCTACATAGTGAGCTCTGGGCCAGCCAAGGCTACAGAGATCAAATCTCAAAAAACAAACAAAAACCCATTAACTGAAATAAAATGCTGACCCATAAATAAAATAAAATGTGCTGACCCATGACTTGAGATTCAAAAGCATTAATGATTACTTTGAGTTCAAGGCCAGCGTGGCCTACAGTAACCTACAGAGTAGTCTGAGCTACAAAGTGAGTCCTAGCTGAATCAAAACAACAAAGCAAAAAGTCTCAATGTAGATGCTAGCCTAGCTCGCAGTAAGCTTTCTGAACAGTTGCTATGGCAGGGAACCGTACTAAGTGCCATCTCACAGAATCCTAAGGGCAGAGATGAAGTTGCCCCTACTCTGGACATTTTTTTTTTTTACGCTGTATATATGTGTGTGTGATGCTGGTGATCCAACTTAGGGATTCACATATAATGGGCAAGCATTTTGTATAATCGGGTTATTCCTCCCTTCTTTATACATCTCAGGATAGGAGGGGAAAAGCCCACTGTTAACTTGACGCTCGAGAAACAGAGGGGCTTAAATATTTCTATTCAGATCCAACACTAAGGACTTAAGGACCCCAAGCCTATACTCTAAGCACTACTGACTAACAAATCGGAAAGTGAGAATTTCAACGTATTTGGTCTTCACAGGACCCAGGAAAGGACGCAAATATTAAGATCCCGTTTACTAGCACGGAAACCGGGCCTAAGGCAGCTTCTTGCCCTCGTGTGTGCTCGCGCGCTTTAAAAATCCTGAAGGCCCCGGGTATACCCCCTCCATCTTTCCCTTTGGTTTCCTACACAACCAGGATGCTAGTGTCACTTCCGCGGTGGAGGTGGCTTTCTTCTCAGTGCAAGCACTTCTCCTGTCAGACTCACCCAGATCTGAGGATAGCTTCAACCTCCTAGCAAAGAGAAACCCAAGGAAAGCGACTGCGCCCCAGTTTAAGACTAGGGAAAGGCAGTCCCTTCACGAATCCGCTTTACGACGTCTCTGGCGCAGAGCGGCCTCACCTTTCCCAACCTTTCTTTACACGTGCGTGCTCTACTCCAGCAGTCTCTACCCACTGGACTTATGGGAGATGTAGTCTAGTTGCGGAGCGGAAGCTCTAAAAAAAAAAACAAAACGGAAGCTTGCTGGGAACTGTAGTCCATCGCTAGAAAATGAACTGGAAACAGGAAATTTGGACAACCGTAGGAAATCCAGAGTGTGAGAGGCATGTCGGGAATTGCAGGCCAAAGATAGGCTGATTCGCCGCTACATTCCTGTCAATGCTCTGCGTGGACGCTACTGGGAGTTGTAGTTTACTGTGAGCGTGGCTCCATTTTCTCGGTGGTTATGACTTTCTATTCAAAGCAAAAAGATCCGTTTCTAGATGATTTTACAGCCTTTATGTTCTGGCTCTTTCCAAGCTTGAGGGATCGCCTTTTTGCAGAGGAAGGGATGATCGTCGGTCCTTCCAATATTAGATGAGCTAATCACTCTAAAGTGAAGCCTGTCCACCACCCGTCCCTCTCATCTGTGGAATGGCAGGCATCCCTATCGAAACCTAGCAGAAACCAGATCTATCAACTCGCTATTCGACCTTACTCACCAGCCTGCCCTAATCAGTATGTTTTCTTCCAATCTGCTGATGACTGAGAGCTAACCGGTCTGATTTTAATGTCAGGAACTTCATTAGTGGGCAAACTAATCAGTGACTAGAAGACCAGAAGAAATGACCTTTGTTCTTAGGATGTGTAGAACTAGGAAAGGATATCTGAGACCTTCAGCACCAAATGTTTGTCACTGACCCCAAACCTCCACCTGTGAAAGTGCCTGCAATTCTTTGATCATTCTAAGGCTGAGCCTTAGGGAGGGCAGGCCCCCGCCTGGCCTATCCCTAGAGTCCCATGAAGACAGAATAAGAGTTCTCCATCTTCTCAACTGCTTTTGTTTTCTGATAGTGGCTCATGTAGCCCAAACTCACCTTATATTTGCTAGATAGCTCTGCCCTCACTTGCCAGGTGCCAAGGGTTCACCATCCAGTTTTATGTGCTGCTCCAGACTGAACCCATCCCTCAGGCTTACTACATGCCCAGTAAGCACTCTTATCCTAAGTTAGAATTCTTGCATAAATGTCTTGTCTGTTTAATTTTTACCTATTTTTCAATTTTATCTTTGAGACAAGGTGTACACCATCATGCCTGGTTAAGCACTGTTCTTTGGGTTTATAAGCTGACATGTTAGCCACCTACCTAGCATTAAATGGTAACCTATCCTCTCTACCTCTGACTTACTCTTGAAGGTCCAAGACTTTTCTAGAACCAGACCAAAAACTTACTTCTTCCCAGCACTTTTGGAGATAAAGGCAAAAGGATTGTGAATTTGTGACCAATAGGGAGACCCTAGTTCAAAAACAACAAAAAGCCAACAACCAGAGATAGCCATGCAGAACTGAAATTCTCAGCACTTGGGAGGGCCAGTTTAACACTGTCCTCAGCTTTAGTTAGTGTGTCCTAGACAGCATGAGACCCTTAAGACAAAAAGCCATGTACTTTTCATTTACAGAATCTCTTCACCCTCCACTTCTTTGTAGCTACTGGGGATTGTCTCTGATAATATATTGTCTCGTGTATAGGCTGGTCTAGGGCTTGCTGCATACCTGCACGTAACTTTAAGATTTGTGAGCCACTGTGCAGGTTCTGGCAACCAAACCCAGGTCCTCTGCAAGAACAAGTGTTCTTAACTGTTGAGCCAACTCTCCAACTACCACATAGTGTAGGTTTGTTAACTCTGTTTACTTACTGGGATTAGGGATTTAACACAGCAGAAGGCCCTCGTTTCAGTCCTCAGCTCTGACAAGAAAAATCTGCATAAGTGTAGATACCTGTGTCACCACACACCCATGGAGGTTAGAAGGTATCTTCCAGGAATCAGTTCTTACCTTCCACACTGTCAAGGCAGGCAACTCAGGACCCAGCGAGTCTCCTGTCCACATTCCAACTAGCTAGTAGTACACCCAGCTTTTTTTGGTCTCTGGCATAGAACTCAGGTAATCTGCCTTGTGTAGCAAGCATAAATTTCTGATCCTCTCCCTTCCATTTCTCCTGTTGGGGATTACAGGCACGCATCCACCACACCTGCTTTCATCCTGTGCTGGGGGACCAAATACAGGACTTCTGATTTGTGCACCCTAGGCAGTCACTCTACCAACTGAGGTAAATTTGTGTATTTATTTATGCATGTATCCCTAGCACCTTAAACCCTATTCCTTATGCAATCTTGTGTGTGTATGCATGGCTGGGGTGGGGGTGTGGTCTTCAGACACGGTCTTTTTGTATAGCCCAAGCTGGCACTGAACTTATTATCCCTCTGCCTTTCCACTGCTGAAAATACACCACACCTGGCTCAAATATATGGAGTAATTGCTGCTCTTGCAGGACTTGGGTTTGGTTGCCAGAACCCTCATAGTGATTCATAACCACCCTTAAGTCCAAATCCAGAGGACCCAATGGCCTCTTCTGACCTCCTCAAGTACAAGGCTTGCATGTGTTACACTTATATAAATGTGGGCAAAACATTCATAAACTAAAAGGTAGCTTTTTAAAAAGTATAAAAATGTTTTAGAGCCATCAGATGCAAGGGTGTGAGTTTTATAGGCCTGGTGTGGGAATGGAAGCTGAGACCCCCCCCCCCCCAATCTAGAGGTTACTTGTCCCTTTCTCTCTCTTTAGTTAACCCAGACACTTCAAAGAATTAGTCAGAATCAGGATAGTAATCAACGGCTTTATTTTCCTAGAACTCAAATTGTCTATGGTTCTCAGAGCTACACTTCCAAAGCTACAGTCAGCAATTTTTCTTCAGAGCCCAAAGGAGGGACGGGAGTAAAAGATAAGAGAAGGAAGAGGGGCATAAGAAACCACTAAAAGAGGCTGGGAGAGGACACTTTTCCCTGTATTCTCAGTGGGCTACAAACTGGATGTGTGGCAACACCAGAGGACCAACTCTGGAAGAACATCAAAGGCCCAGCTCCAAAGACAAAGCCACCAACCCGAACAGGTGAGTCTCCTGGTGCAGCTCAGAAATGGGTCAGCAGTGGGAGCAGAATGGGGAGCACAAAGGGGTGGGATTAACAGGTTTGCTTTTTTTTTTTCCTTTTTGTAATTTTCTTTTATTAAAAACATTTCCTAAAAAATGTGTCTTCTCCTTTATGTCTGGGTGAAATATCTGACTATGGGCTGGCCTTGGGAATTGTAGGAAGTGGGAAGAAGGCAGCAGGGTCTCCTCATGTTACCATCTCTGAACTGAGATCTAAAGAGACTTTTTACTCAATGCAAATGATGAGTCAATCCTTCAGATCTCAGCTCTTTCCAGGTCCTTGGCCCTAACAACTTGGAAAACCCAAAGTCTTGATGTTAAAACTACAATTCCTTAAAACCTGGGGTCAGGAAAAAAAGTGTTCTCAAAATCACCAAGGATTTATGGGTGGGAGCATCTCTCTCCCACAGTGTCCCCTTTCTTGAATATAGGCAGATGGGAAAACAGGTGTGGGTGCGGGAGATAGGAGCTCAGGAGATGCCACCCAGAAACCCACACTCAAGTTTATAATCACTTCCACTCCTGCCCCAACCCAGCCCAAAGGTCTACAATGCCTGCAGGAGTGCAGAGGTGTCAAGAGTTTCATGGAAACAGCAGCCCAGACCCCAACAGAAACCCTAGGAAACAAATCTAAGGAGATACAACGGCCTCATCTCATCCCGGAGCACATGGCCCCGTCACAGGGTATACGGAGGGACCTGGAAGTGAGGGCCAAGAAAATGAGCAAAAGTGAGCAAAGGAGCAGAGTGGGTTGGGTGGAAAAAGGGTTCCCAGTTTGCAGGCCATGGCCAGTTTCCCCAGTAGCACCCAGACAGCAGCAGGAACGGGGCAGGGGCTCCTCTTGAAACATTGGTGGCTACAGGCTGCAGGGGAGGGTTGGAGGGGAGAAGGGTTAATGGTGTGGTCTTGGTCTGGCCTTACCCCAGCCAGTGCAGGTCTCTAGGGAGAGCCCACCCAGCCTCCAAAAGGCTGACCACTGCAGGCCATTTTCTTCCTTCTCCTCTTCTCCATAAGTGGCTAGGCCCTCCCAGCCCGCTGCCAAGGTAGCTCACTCACCTTTCATGATCTCTGACACCCTGGGCTTCAGCCTCTTCCTTGGCAGCCTCTTCCTCCTCCTCTTCCTCTGGAGGAGGTCCCCCGCCAGAGTCTGGCTCAGAGGGGGTGCTGTTCTTCTCCACTTCTACAGGTAGGGGCCTCTCGCCCTCCAAGGCAGCCACCTCCTTGTCCTCCTCTTCATGGTCTCCTGACTCCTTGGGACGTTTAGGGGAGTCCTAGGCAAATTATCAGAGGACATGAACTGAGGCTAAAGGCAGAGAAAGTCAGGAGCTAATCTCCCTGTGCCTCCATTCCTCTTCAGGATCTCTTTCCTGGGTGATAACACTATCCATTCTTCTACCCTCTATGAAGGGTAGAAGGCCTTCTGTGCTCCACTCTCAGTTGGATTCCCAGAGACCAGGAGGTAGATTTACACCTCAGACCCAAGGTTGCAAGATGGAGCCCACAAAAAAAGCTACAGGCAGGTACCTCCAGCATGTCCCCTGCTCTCCTCTTCAGCACTCCCTTTTCATTCTTCTCCTTGGTTGGCTCATCAATGACCAGTTTCCCTTCTTCATCACTGCTGCCCTCTGTGTTGCCTTTCTTATCACCATCACCCTCATGGGCTTCAGGCTCCAACTCAGGCTCTTCCACACAGCTCTTTTTCTGGGAGGACTGTGGTGGAGAAAGCAGAGGTTGAGTGGCACCAGAGACTAGGCCCTCCCCAACCACCCCCTTGGACACTCACTCCTTATTTTGCCCGCCTCTCCCCCACCCCCACCCAGTTGCCCAGTCTCACAAGTGATTTGAGACCCACCTCTGTTGGATTAGCCCAGGGGTTAACCCACAGGCCGGGCAGGCAGGGCTCTGTGCAGGAGGGGGGAGGGCTGGAGCAGGAGGCAAAACCTCGGGTCAACTTCTCCCAAAGGGATCTGGGACC